GCCCTTCAGAAACAGATGCACATAAAACTCCTTGCCCTCCGTCGCCGCCTGAATCTTCTCGAAAATCTTGACAGACGCAGCGTACGCGCCCTCGGGTGACCCTCTCCGGGTGTTTTTGAATCCACACGAGCCTGCAGAAGCCCATGCCTTGACGCAGCCGTCTGGGGCGGTGAAGGTGAGGAGGGTGTTATTGGGGGTGGCTTGGCAGTGCAAGCGGTAGACGGGCCAGTTGCGTCGGTCAACGGGGTCGAGGGGCGTGGTAGGTTTCTCTTCGTTGGAGGGAGCGGAGGGCGGTTGACTTAGGTCGATAGCGGAGGGGGCGGGAGGCGCAGATTTGGAAGAGGCGGCAAGGTCGGCATTGAGTTCGCCGATGACCGAGTCTATCGTGTGCGCCCCGCCGCCACCGACGACTGAGCGGGTCTGTAGTGCTGCTCGTGGTAGTATACGGCGCAGAGCAAACATGAAAATTCCCGATTAGGTAACTCACTCTTCACCTCTTTACCCGTTCCACCATGTCGGTATGTCCTTGCCTTCTTCCTCGCGATGATGAGCCACTAACCCGCCTTGGAATAGTTCTCGACTACGCTGTACAATACCTTCTTCAAGCGCAACAGTATGTCTCGATTACCTTTGGCTGCTCCTCGACACTGACCTGGATAGGCGTGTACGTCGCAACCATATTTGCTGGCGCATTCGGATTCGGTATCGGGTTCGACACTGCCCTGAATTCTTTCTATGACCGTTGGAACAAGGGGGTACGTCCTTGCTCTTTCTATTCTCTCCTTGACGTGTGCTCAACCCGACGTAGAAACAATGGAAGGATATCCGTCATAAATACGTTGAAGCTGAAGAGTAGATTCCTCCCTGTTCCTCGAAATTGAAACCAACCGCCGCGTTATTTTAACTGGGACTTGAACTTGAAAGAGAATTGGAATCCCTTGACGAATGGGGAGCTGCTTATTGGTGGGAGCGGGAGAAACCGGGTCCCTTGTTGTCCGTCAACACTGTCATGCACCTGGTTCGATGTCTACGTTTCATGTTTGTGTTCACGGCCAATGGTGTTCCTCTGGATTATCTCGCGTCGTTTGGCACTGTACTTGTCCGTGAACTAAAAACTCCTTGATCCATTTTTTCGTTTCTCTTTCAGTTGTTCACTGTCTTGGTCGACAAGCCCTTCGGAGACAAGCAATCTGACCGCTATTTGGGATGCTTCATAGGCATATCCAGCAGTTAGTGGAACTACTGGGTGTGCATCTACTTTACTTAACTGGTCATGTTCAGATAGGCCAGCGGCATACACGTTACCCAAGCAGAACCGACGCATCGTATCTCGTCTCTGAAAAGGCGGGACTCAACAGTTCCCTCATCGCCTTCAAGTCTATACAGGGTAAAGTTATATGGGAGGAAAACACGCGACGAGGTTTGGTATGTATACTTGGACGATAAAAATTTTGACGAGGACAAACGGGCTTGATGTATGATCGTGAGTCCTGATTTATCTATACCACGAAAGCAACACCACTCATCTTAAATTTCCTTAGGGCGCTACAACCCTGCAGAACATGACTATTTTCGGCACATTGCCACGAAATACCCAACGTTGTACGATCTACACTAATAGTGAAGGCGCTGACTCAAGCCAAGACAGTCTGAAAAAAGGTTGCTCTTCAAAAGAATAAAGGGGTGTTGGTGTCGGACTCGGACTTTCTTTTTTACGCCTCCAATATCAACAATCGTTCAGACGCTCGCCCGCTACCCTCAGTACCGGTAGTAGACCTTTTTCTCTTTCTTTCACCCAAGCCCGAGAGCCCAGCCAGCATGCAACCAATCTCGCAACTGGGTTCTCACAGGTCCTTTCATACTCACAATGACAAAGAAGTATCCGGCTATCATACCCGGCAAGGAGCTTTGAGAGACAGTATGGCTCGAACGATGTTGCGTTTAGAACGACGGCCCAACGAGGGTCCCTATCTTGTCGCTACTGGCGTACCATCCCAGCTCTTTGACGAGTGGTCAACATACGACTCGTGGGTTTAGTTCCTGTGTTTCCTTTGACGTTGCTAACGGGTCTCCCTCGTAGCGCCTACCATATGTTCTACGATCATGACTCCCAGTCTGTCTTTTCGTTCCATGATCCATCCCCACAGCACGAGGCAGCTACAATGCAGTTCTTGGGTGCATTCCAGCAAGGATACATAGATCTATATAACAGCAAGTCCTCCACACCTATTATTTCGACGCGAGGTCACCTATACATGGGAGGGTCATCCTGTTTGCCTCTCCGCGATGGGTCTACGAAAGAGCCTGATGCGCGAGTCTGCATAATCAGACCTGGCGTTGGGAAACCGCGACTCGCTCGATGTTTCGTCTTTGAATGCGCGTATATGAACGAAGACGAGGCGACATTGGTTTCTGAGACCCTGAGATGGGCTGACTCTGGCCACTTTTCTATCGGTTTGAAGATTCAAGACGTGGTCGGTTGGCCGCTGTCTCGTAAGTTATGGTCATATTTCGTTCGGGCATACATTAACATTTGCCGGCATGCAGCCCGACTGACTTTTTATATCGCCGACAGATGCGGAGCTGTCGTTACACGATACATTGTTCCTTACGACGCTGTCGATCCTCGCCCCGACACAAACCCTTCTGCAGCGACTCTGGAGGAGCTAGAACAGGCGTTTAGGAACGACGATACGCCGCTGGATTGTCCTTGGGCATTTCAGCACAAATTGAATAAAGTACCAGAGGAAGCGGGCAAACTCGAAAAGTGCTACAAAATGCTTGGACTGCCACCGAAGCTGTCAAAGAATATCAGCGTTTTCGAGCGGCTCAGGGCGCAACAGGGGGAAGGCCGAGAGTACTATTTTGAAGAAAGTGGTGATGAGGGAGATGATGGTACGTCTCGACCACCACTCTTGGAGCCCGAAGAAGTGAAAGATGGGGTCTTGGTCGATGGCTGCTGTATTCCGATATCGATATCAGCTTTGTATGGTGATAATCCTCCGCCATCACCTCTTACTCCCAACGATCAACTCCTCGTGGATGTATTTTTGATTCGAACGTATGTATCGTATGCTGTTGAAGATTTAGTGATGTATACAGAACAGCTTAGAGAGAGCGTTGAGGTGGTGAAGAAGGGAGGGGATTAGAGCGAATGCATATAAATTTGTTCTTTAATGAAGCGACTTGTCTATATATTCTATTCCTTTAACACAAAGTGAGGATGGGTTGCAAAAGTCTTATAAGCCTCCCGATCCAACGAGTTTAAGGCTACTCGTTTATCAGTCTCTATAGTTTCTATCAGTGCCTCTGATAAGGAGTGAGTGATCATGAAGAAGAGAGTAAGCAAGTAAAGCACACCCATGGTAGTAAAATCCAACTCGGGGCGTATATATCCGAGGACGACGGCCCTAAGCTCCATGCCGTAAAAGTCGGCGGTGTACTCGTGCATGACGTGGATCTCCTGCTGGACGGTGAGTGCGACGTAGCAGAGACAGGATAAGACGCACAGCAGTGAGACGCTCATTCTTGTAGAACGGATTCCAGCCGAGACTCATCACCATTGGCCAGACCGCGTTTGACGGCGCATCCGGGACCTGGGCGTAGCCATAGTACACCCCCGGCTGGGCCACTGAGCTAATTGCCTCTATCGCTTCATCGGGGAGGTTCGCTGCGAGGCATCAGCGTCAGAGCCAGGAAAGACCAAGGGTAGCTTTATTTACCTGTGGGGCAGTTCAGATCCTTGCCTCCCCGTCCAAATCCACGCTGCACTGCGCCACTGAGCAGGACAGGAAACGGAGACTCTGGCTGGTCAGGACCGACGACGAGGGGACGACTATCGCGAAAGCTGTCTGTCTGGAAGAGGGCAGTGGGACGGGCAGTCATCAAGTCAGTCAAGTCTATTTTGGGACTTTACTCTTGACCACGATGATCCCAGCACCGGTGCCTGTAAATCCATACTCCGTCTACAATTCCGCCTACCCCGCCTACTATCCTTATACAGCCGCAGCAGCCGCCCCCCAGCTACAGCCAGAGCCGTCCCCGCCGTCCCCCGTCCCGCCCGCCGTATCCCCCGCCGCCGCCTCCGAAGCCACACAGCGCCTCGTCTCCGCGGAGCTCAAACGCGCAGGCTTCGATGCCGCAGAGCCTGCCGCTGTCGTCCGCCTCGAGCATGAGGTCGTCGCCATCGTCGAGGCCCTCTACCACCGCGCCCACGAGTACGCCAACCTCGCCAACCGCGCCGGGGCTGTCGCTACCGACTTGATGCTCGCATGCAAGGACTACGAGCTCGACATGAAGGGCCTCCGTACCCAGACTCGGAAGAGAAACACGGCGCCGCTCCCCACACTGATACCCCCGCCCTCGCGCTCTCCCTCCCCAGAGCTCCTCTCGTCTGACGACGAAGACCCCGCGTCTTCTGTTCCGTTCACGCTGCGCAATCTCCCGACTTCGTTCCCGGACCTTCCCCCGAAACACACGTACCACCAGACCCCCGTGTCTCCGCCGAAAAAGGCGGCTTTGCCTTCGCTGGAGAAGAAGCTCAAGACGGCGGGGCTCGTGCAAGAGTCCCTGCGCAATCTTATGCTCTCCACGGAGGACGCCTCGGGTCAGGGCCAGGAGGACGCGCAGCTACTAGGGCATATTGTGAATTGGCAGAGCAGTGCCCATCCGAGGAAGAGGTGGAGAGTCGGGTCGTGATGTGCGCGCGTGTTCTTACATAGCGTGCCAAATTGTATTCGTCAATACCGAGTTAGACGTTCGGGCACCAAGAGTGTTGCAACCAGTGAAAACCCATTTCAAAAAACGTTCATTGCACACTGCACAACAGTATGAACTTTGAAGATTTGAACTATAGGACTTCAATAAGTAGTTTCAGTGTTCAACGTTCAATCATCATGCATCAATGTTCAGATTCATCCCCATTTCGCTTTACAAATGAGAAAAAATCTCTGTCAAAAATTGATCTCGACAATCTAATTTGAACCCTTGTATTCTTCATCAGACACTACCAGGGTTCGAACCTGGGTTATGGGAATTTGGAGCTATATCAAAATCCCATGTGCTGCCACTACACCATAGCGTCGTTGCCACGGTCCTCCATCCATCATATAAGATAATTCTAAGATGTAAACAAAGGTAATATCCAAAGATTATCCTACTTTTCCTTTTCCTTGCCTCTCGCACTTCTTCTCAGGCCCTTCGCGGCAGTCGCAGGAACATCCGCTTCCACATTCTGAGTTTTCTTCGGCCTTCCCCTTGGTTTGGGCTTGGGTGCAGTCTCGGAATCTACATTCATCACATCGTCGTTAGCATTTTCCTCCTGCCTTCTCGGTTTTGGATTTTGTTGAAGAATCACAGGGTCAATGTCCATGGCATCAGAGTCTACGGAAGCCGGGTGAGATGCTGGCGGCCCAGCGTCAAACGATATTGACGGTTGAGGAGGAACCGCGTTTGGCCATGCACGCGGAGCTGGATTTGGGACGGCCTGGTTTCCCCTCGTACGTGGATTAAGCGCCCATGTAGTCAACACAGGCACAGCTGAAGGAGCCGCTGCCGAAACTGGGGCACTAAGCGCATATGTAGGAGGCTGCTTCCAGACGGGATTACCTTCTTTTTCCTTTGCTTTACCTTTCTTCTGTGGTTCCGGAGGTGTCGGCTTGATCCTGTTATACCTCGACCGACAATTCACATCAATCCTCCCCCCGCCCATCTCGCTCGCGATGGCCTTCCACCGCCCAAGGGTCCCAAACTGCTCAACAAGCTCCACTAGCCGGCGATCGTCGTCCTCTGTCCAGACACTGGCCACCTTTTGCCGCTCGATCCACCGGTCCCGGCACTGGTCGTTCGTCCGCCCCTGCATCACGCTCGCCACATCCACCCAGCTCTGCCCGTACCCCGCCACTGCCAAGTACAGCCGCGCGTCCTCTGCTGCCGTCCATGGGCGGCGGTCGAGGTGCAGCCGAACGTATCGCGCTTCGCATTGTACCGCGTTGAGGTCGTTGGCGACGTATCGGGCAACTGACGAGGGTTAGCAGGCAAGGCGAGAGACAAGGCAGGTATACCTAGACTCCAATTCGCCACACCGTACTTTTGGACGGCCTCCTCGAGCCGGTCGTCGATTCGTTTCTTCCACGCGTGCTTAGGTCGCTGCCGGAGCTGAATGACTTTACGCATACAGTCAAGGGGGATGCGGTTTGTCTGGACGCCAGGTTAGATTGGAACGGAGAGGTGTAAGACTACTTACGCCAAGGTCCTTTGTGACTTGCACCCAGTCCACCTTGGTCTCTTGAGCGATTCTCTTCAGCTGCTCGATCTCTTCGTCCGTCCACTCGCCATGATTGATCCTAGGGTGCCTGTCTGCCATCCATTTAAACTGTACCTCGTCTGCTGTCCATTTCGCCGTAGACGCGTCGGATACCTGAAGGTTGATTAGAATACGTAGAATGTCACGATGTAAATCTACTTTTTCAGCAATGATAGCCCAGTTGATGCCTTCCGTGTTGTGAGTAATGTCGATATCTGACGTTCCACTAAGAACATCAGATAAATAAGGAGAGAACGCCAAGGAAAAACTTACCGTTCCCTCGTTTCTAGTGCTTTCAACCGCGTATTCTCGTTCTTGACTCCCTCATCTAGCGCCGCAAGTTCTTTAGCCTTCACTGTCATCGTGTTAGAGAATGAGAGGGTCATAAGAATGAAACGTACTGGGTCGTACAGTTGTCCAAGCCAGATACCGCGTCCTCTGCATCGACTCTTCGTAAAATGGTGATGACTCGAAACATACATGAGACACGACACGATATAATGGCAGGATACATACTGGATTGACTAGTTCACTCGACGCGATAGGCCCCATAGGCTTCTTCGCACCTACGACCTGGACTTGGAGCCCCAGGTCCTCGTCCGCATCTTCCTTGTCGCGCTCCGCCGCTTTCTACGTCCATAAGCAAAAATACCAGATAAAACGTAATGGAACGCACGAGGAGTTTGTCGAGCTCGTCGAGTTCTGCAGAGAGTGCATCAGCGTACTGGGTGAGGGCGTATTGGTGGGCTTTGGCGGTGTCGATGGCGGGTGTGAGGAGGTCGTGGATGAGCGAGGTGGTCATTGATGAAGAAGGAAGCGGCCCGGGAGTTTGTTGTTACAAGTTTAATTTCAATTTGACGATCGGCTATCTAACTACGGAAGCTTGCTTATGGACTCCCATGATGCATGATATCCTGTCATCATCCTCCCCAGACGTGTCCCCTTCCAAAATCATCATCTCCTTCAGCCTTGTCGGCAACTCGTCAGAGTCTTCCTCCACCTCATTGCAAAAAGAGTAATTGATAACGCTTTCCAACAGATACTGGCGTACCTCGATGAACTTGGCCCAGATTAACCTGCGTCTGTCCATTTCTGTATGAAAATAGGCATGAGATGGACCAACACCGGCGCTGATGAGAACTAGAGATCCAGAGCGATACTTGTATGATGTCGTCGAGAAGGTGGTCGAAGATCGTGTTTGATATGACTTAGTACTACCCGTTACAACGATTTGAGCCGCGCAAAGTCGTTTGGACGGTCACGAAATGCGAGTGTGTAGTCGGTAATATAGATATCATTGTTGGAGGCAATGAGCGGCCTCGTCTCATCATCAATCTCCTCGCAGCTCATGGGAGAATACGATGTAGCCAGTAGTAACTTGACCGCTTCTTGGATCCGTGAAGGTGGAAGGAGGATTTGGAGGTCCAGCTTTTCCTGGAAGATGAGATCACCACCCAGGCTGTAATGTACGTACTGCCTCCTGACCCCAGGCGACATGGGGAACAGCGGCACTGGCGAGTATGAGGGATGGCTGCCAGGAGCCTTCGGGATATCATGGTATATCGGTTCTGTTGTCCATGGATGTAAGAGGATAGACTTGTCCAATAGGGGCGGTGTTTGTCCCCAACACAAAGCCTGTCCTCAGGCTATTCTTCGATTCTCATTCTCCTCTGGGGACTGGCAATGGTATTAATCAAGTCCCAGATCCAGATCTCGTTATGTGGCGACAATTTGCAATCATCATAGGGTTATTGGGCACTGACTATGTCAGAGGTGTTTCTAGGTTTCAGAAATTTCATGTTCGACCTTCGCGAGACGGTATTTGCATTTACCCGAGGATTCACCGGACCGTAAACCAAGGTGCAACACCGATAGTTCGGAGTCACAAGTGTGCTTTATCATACCAATCGCAGCCCAGTCAACGTAAAGTGTACCATGGGATCTGGACCATATCCAAAACGAACACCATAAAGAAAACAAACAAAAAACGAAAGAGAGGGGTATAAATGTGACAATCAGTGACAAGCGCGTTTTTGGTAATCACTCCCAGTTTCTTTCTTGGTTTGTTTCGTTCTCTACAACCCTCGGCTGCGACCAGACGCCATCCTTGTTTCTGCTTATCCGAATTTGCTTACATGGTTTGATTTCCAGGTGCTGTTCTTGAAGTCTTCCGCCATCAGTCTTTCTACAGTTGCCACGATCCACGGGCCACTGCTGGCAAAATTTCAACCAGCGAGTTACTTACATTCAAGAGTATCAGCGATTTCTCATTGCATCTATCGTCTCCTCGATTGGAGACCTCACTTTTCGCTACCATTGGGCCATGGTCGCACTTTAACAATCAAGCTTCACGACCGTGACATGCCATTACCATGGCTCCCGCTGGAGTCTGGTCAATCAACTTCCACGAAAAGATGTCACCGAAACGAGGCTTATTGCGTAACATCAAAATATGATCAACTGCGGAGCTCCTCATCGCGTGCTTCAGTGAAAAATACACTGCTCAAATTGGTGCTTAGTTTTTTGTGGTGGTCATGCCACACGTCCCATGGTGATGCCAGCACGTCTAGATTACGTTCCATGGGCTGCCATTGGTGCGATAGGGTGTAGGAAATATATTCTCGTGACCGAACTATGGCTATTGCATCTCATTTCGCGGTCCGGAGAAACCTCGGATAAATGCATCCGCTCTGGTTTCGCAGGTCCCACAGGCTATATAAAGGGTCGAGGAGCGATGGGTTCTTCATCTCGCCTCTCCAAACATGTCCGACTCATCTTCAGCTCTTCATCTCATTCATATCAAGAAAGAAATCGTTTCCTCTTATCCTGACTTTGAGGAACGCGTTACGCAAGGATGGGCCGACATCCTCGTTGAACTCAAGAAGGCGACCCAGAAAATTTGCGCTGGGGGGCCCGCGGTATGCTACTTCTGTTGCTAACTAACTACCTAGCTCACAGACGCTAGTTCATTCCCCAAGTCCAGTTCTCTGAACTTGATAGCCTTCCAGCTGATAAGATCGATGAAATCCGACGCAAGGGATGCCTTGTGATCAAGGACGTTGTCGACGACGCGCAAGCAATTTCTTGGAGGAAGTCGCTTGAAGATTTCGTATCCACCAATCCAGATGCCGACGGTACGTTTCTCTATAGCACTCAGCGTGCGGTTTCTCATCCAAGTCTCCAGGTTTTCCCGACGGCAATAAACAGTTTTTCGACCTCTAGTATGTATCATTGAGTCTCTCTCAAAGTATTCGACTCTAACCTTCGCCCAGCTGGACGAAATCTCAAGTGGAGGCGCGCGCTCATCCCAACATGCTCGCAGCTTCGATCTGGTTGAACAATTTGTATCATGCCGAAGCGGGACAGAAGTTGGATGGTGTAGATCTATCCTCGCCACTGAGCTATGCCGATCGGTTCCGCATCAGACACCCTGGGACCGGTTGGAGTGCGCACCCGCCTCACGTCGATGGTACGTCGTCTTAACGCTATCTCATACGAAGTTCTGAACAAAACAAAGGCGGTACTCTTGAACGCTGGGAGGATCCAACATTCAGGTCCTGTTTTGCTGATATACTCAGCGGGCAATGGCGCAAGCACGATCCGTTCCTTCTTGCGGGCCGTGTAGGCGCGCAGACTTCTCTATGCCACAGACCGGAGCAGGTATATTTATTCGTGAAGAAATCTTCCGTGATATCCTGGCTTACATGTCCTCACAGTCCTCTATCTTCCGATCTTTCCAAGGCTGGCTTGCTATGAGGTTTGTGCACTTCTAGTATTGC